TTGGGTGCTGCTTCTTTTCTTGGTGGAACCATGAGGATGACGGTCTCGCTCTGTGTAATTATTCTGGAATTGACCAATAATCTGTTATTGCTGCCATTAATAATGGTGGTTCTTCTTGTTTCCAAGACAACGGCGGATGCTTTCAATGGTAATATATATGATCTTATTATGAAAGCAAAGGGTCTTCCCTATCTGGAAAGTCATGTTGAACCGTACATGAGGCAGCTGACAGTAGCGGATGTAGTAATAGGGCCACTTCAACTCTTTCAAGGCATTGAGAAGGTTGGTAACATAGTACACGTCCTCCGGACTACAGGGCATAATGGGTTCCCTGTGATTGATGAGCCTCCGTTGTCTGAAACCCCCGTTTTGTATGGTTTAGTCCTCCGCGCTCATCTTATTGAATTGTTGAAGAAGAAAGCATTCGTGTCCACCCCAGTTCGGACGAGCACCAATTCTTTTAAACTCTTCTCATCGGTGGATTTTGCCAAGAGGGGTTCAGGCAACGGTGACAAGATAGAAGACATAGAATTGACTGAGGAAGAGAAGGAAATGTTCATTGACTTGCATCCCTTCACCAATGCTTCACCGTATACGGTTGTGGAGACAATGTCACTAGCAAAGGCGCTCACACTTTTCCGAGAAGTTGGCTTAAGGCACCTTCTAGTGATACCCAAGTTGTCCAATGTAAGTGCGCATTCCCTGAAGTTTTTGTAGCTAACATCACGGTGTTGTGATATACATGAACCGCCACATATTATGCTAATTACTTACCAATCCATATTATTCCTTACAGCAGTTTTCTTACTAATGTCTTGTAATATCTACGCGTAATTGCAGAGATCACCCGTGGTGGGTATATTGACGAGGCACGACTTCATTCCAGAACATATACTGAGCTTACACCCTATGCTGGTAAGGAGCAGGTGGAAAAGATTAAGATTCCGGCTGCCACCTCCGTCTAAACTCTTTTAGGCATTTTTCAGCCTAGCACTGAAGAAAAAGGTCTTGTAAATGATCTTCAGTCGAGGGTATGGAATCACGACAAGTCCGGTATCTCATTATTTTTCAACTTCTTCATGGACTCCAGAGTAGAGGGCAGTAGTTTATATTGTCGAAATATATAGAGTTACGTTAGATACCATGATAAACCAGGAAAGGTGGTATTTTTGCTCTCTGATGGAAGTATTTGTGCGGACTAGATACTGCGCAGCCAAACAGAAGGAAACGAATATGGTCTTGATAGCTTTTTACAGTTGAACTCCATGCTAATTTTCCAAACTAAATGGTTGATCCCGCACTCGATAGAGAAAAATATTACAGCTACACAGCCCTGCTGACACATAGGGCTGGTTTGGTATTGCTGTGCTTTGAAAAAAAACTGTTTCTGACGTGCTGTGAGAATAAGTTCATTTTTGCTACTTCACGTTTTCAGTTTTTTTTTTCACCTAAAACTGTGAAAATAAGCTGTTTTTGATACCTACTTTTTATAAAAGCACCTCAGTACCAAATCAGTACATAATCATGTGGAAAATTGTGGTAAAATGGAAAAAAGCGGAACTAGGTCTGGACTTACCTCAATTGTTATACAACGGTACAAGACTTGGTAGTCAACATTTAAATGTAAATGCGTTTGTTTTATGGCTCCTCGTGACTTGTAGCAGTTGTTCGGTGTGACGGACAAAGATGCTGAGAGAGAAGTACACATCCAAAGTATGTTCGAGGGTGAAAAAGATGTCGAGAAAATGGCCAAAACGAATAGCAAACTAGTGTCTGAGCCTGCTCAAATTCAAATTTACATGGTAAGTTGAATGCGACATGAGGGATACTCACTACCCTCTCTTGACACTTCTAAGGTAGTCTACCCTTATTTTCTGTAACTGCACTATCACTGAGTTCATGTCCGGCCGATCAGCTCCAACGGGGGCGGCACATAACCGAGTAGCTTTACGAGATTCCGGTGATCAATTTTGGTGAGCAGTTCAACTTTGCTGCTGAATTCAGTTTGCAGATTCTCTCAGTGTTCCTATTATACATAGTTTCCATGTTAAACAAATAGCAATCGTTTGATTGAATCACTGACATGAGAATAAAAACTTCCTTAAAATCCACTCGAACCATAACAAATAATGCTATGCAGAAATACCATGTAAGCTTCAATGTTGAAATATTGAATCACGTCACATGCATACGACTTTAGTGGCGGAGCTAGGATTTTAACCTAAGAAGGCCCCAAAAGTTTCAGTTCGAAATGTTCTTCTCATCTTACAAAAATTACTTTGTTGTGTGGGGAGCAACATACCACCGTTGTTTGGGTCTGTGGTATGGTGTCGTCCACGTCATCCTCTTCCCTAAACCTAAACTTCAAGCCTCTGTGATTTTCTTCCTCTCTCCCTCCACACTAGAGTCCTACTCAAAGCTTACTATCAATTGATTGCCTGAACTTCATAGGAGCCACCAACCTCAAATCAACTCAAATGAAAGAAATTAGAGTAAAAAGGTCAAATTGGGGCCCTAAGCCTACAAAAACACTTTGGAAATCATAAGCATAACACAAGTTTTCTGCATGACAAAATGTCAGTCTCTTCATGTCTCCGCCTCTGTCCGTCCATTTGGAGACGAAACATTGGACTTTTGTGATAAAATTTCACAATTGAGATCCATTGAGCATGATACCACCCGAGGGTATTGGGCTCATGTGATTAAGTTGGGAACAACAACAAACGCTCAAACAACCAAAAATTACAGCTACACATAAGCACACTGGAAAATCATGCCAAACATTTAAATTCAAATGTGTTTGCTTTCAAGGTTGCAAAATGATTTCGCGTAGAAAAAAATGGCCAAACTGAAAAGCAAACTCGTGTCTTGTGACCAAATTGTTTTTACAGGGTAAGGTCGAATAAGGGGGAAGATGTCTCTCACATTATTTATACTACTGCCCTCTCTTGACACTTCTAAGGTAGTCTCCCCTTATTGTCCACAACTGCTCTTCCACCGATTTCATGTCCGGCCTATCAACTCGGGTGGGGGTATTCTGAAGTCTTCCACGGCATCCCCCGCTCTCTGCTGCAGTAACTTCCGTATATCCAACAATCTTCTATTGACTTCATCAGGTTTGTCCCGGTTTTGCCTCGACAAAACCAAGACCTCCTTCACATCCTTGCTTCCTGCATCTTCAATTTTATTAACAATCTTTTAAGAGCCCTATCCAACTCAACAATTTGTTGAGCGTAATCATCCAAGCAGCAGTAGTTCCACATGCGCAAGTTGGACAACTTGCCAACAAGCTTCACACCATCCTCCATTTGCATTTGAAGACTTTCAATTTCCTCGTTTGGGAGACCCAATTCGACGTTATGCTCTCCAATCTGTTGGATGTCTCTTGGTTCTAAAGAGTCTAGCGTGGACTTGAGGTCTCCGAGAAGGGTTTTAAACGTCCCACTCTTGCTCATCGCTTGCTTGATGCCATCGTAGAGCAGCGTAAACAGTGTTCCACCAATAAACTCCAGTGCCATAATTGTGAAACCTTGTCCAATTACACTGTCAACAGGCCAAGCTGTAGCGTTATGATCTTTCTGGAGTGGTTTAGTTTACAGGTCTATATTTGTTGGTAATCAAATTCAACCTTACATGGTAAGGGTAAGATTTCTCTAACAGTATACTTCTTGATACCAATAATGTTAATCATACCGCATTTTAATAAACATTGGTAGTGGCCAACAATTAGGCCAACAATTAGGCCCCATTTGACAAGGAACCCTAGCTGTCCAGCAGTAACATTTGAACAAAAGGGAGTCGTTTGATTTCTGGACTCTTGGTGATCTAGATTACAATGCTTTTTTTTTTGTTTGTAAACTTTTGATTATGGTCTAACAGTCCTTTTTTTTTCTTTTCAAATTTTATGGTAAAAAATTCCGTGGTTGAAATTTAAATCAAACGGTCAAAATAATAAGAGATTTTTTTTTAAAAACAAATCCACTTTTAAAATAAAATTTCAAATTCTATATATACTCATTCATCTAGGATGGTTATTAAGTTGCAAAAGAAATTATTCTGCGAAAAAAAAAAAGAAGAGTTAAGAGTTAAAACCATTCCATAACAAATAATACATTTTAGGTCATGAAATTTAGATCTAGAGGGTTGATCGACATTCATTGCTCCCTAAATTTTGTCTTTTAATACAATATTGTTGCCGAGCCGCAAATGAGTCAACGATGTTTCTGGTTGAAGTACCCAGCCAACAGAAAGAAAATAGCACAAAAGGGTCATAGGGTTTCGGGTCTGAAGAGCTTTAGCGGCTGCAGCCCTCAAGCAGGGCAGCAAGTCAGCAACTTATGGTACAGGCATCCGTGTGAATGATACAATCGTCATATAGACAAAAATTTACACATATCTTTGTATCATTAGCACGAAACGACACAATAATAATGTTATTACTGTGTACTTGGGTTGGGTCCCTAGTGCCGAAGATTCCTGTCCATGTTTTGGTTGGCAGAGTTCCTTGGTCGAGTCCTAAGTATCGAGGTCCTGGGGATGTCTTGGGCTCCAAGTTCCCCAAACCAGATCCTGAGTACCAAGTTGAAAGAGAAGTCCCACATTTGGAGACGAAACATTGGACTTTTATGATAAAATTTCACACTTGAGACCCATTGAGCACGATACCACCCGAGGGTATTAGGCATAGGTGATTAAGTTGGGAAAAACAACAACCAAGAATTACAGCTACACATAAGCACATTGAAAAATCATGCCAAATATTTAAATTCAAATGTGTTTGCTTTCAAGGTTGCAAAATGATGTCGCGTAGAAAAAAATGGCCAAACCGAAAAGCAAACTCGTGTCTTGTGACCAAATTGTTTTTGCAGGCTAAGGTCTAATAAGGGGGAATATATTGTAAGAATATGAGCATAAATATGAATCTATGAACTTAGTTATTGGTCTTGAGATTGAATGGGAAGTCTTATTGGGAATGGATTTTGTAATCCATATCACACCGGACTACTATTTAAGGGATTAGTTTCCTATAAGGATTCTAATAGGGGAATCCTTAGGGGATATGGCAAAGATTATGTTGTGTATATATAGTGGCCTCTGCTCTCACAGTTGATATGCTCGATCATCGAACTAAGACCTATTATTAGTTAGAGCAAACTGATTACTGGAGAGAGGAGAAGGTGCACTGCTTAGTTGTTGCAAAATCTGGAATTGCTGCTTCTTCAAGTTCGTCTGCAGGTAAGTTTCTTCTCTGTGCTACAGGCTTATGAATTGGGTTTGTGTTTTGATCATTGTGATTCATAATTACATGTTTTTGGTATATGTTTATTCTAACATGTGGTATCAGAGCCTGGTTTACATGTTTATGAATTCAATCTTGAAATCAAATGGTTTGAATAATAATAATTACATGTTTTTGGTATATGTTTATTCTAACATGTGGTATCAGAGCCTGATTTACATGTGTTTGGACCCGATTTTACACCATCGGCCTAAGCGGTCGATGCCGTTGAGTAAGCAAGGTTCTCAACCGTTGGATAAAAAGTTAAGATATTATTGTTAAGAGATAATATTATTATTTTTAATAATTATCTCTTAACAAGTTATCTCGGTTTTATGCAAAATAAATGGGATAAGACGACATGGATAAATGGGAGATTGTTTGGACCCATTTTTACAATAGCGGCCCGAGCAATCAAGGCCGTCGGATGAGCAAGGTTTTAGGCCATTGAACGACAAAGTGGTTGAAATAAATTATGATTGAGATAATTTTGGGATTTTAATCATTATTTATTAAACCTAGTTTTTATCTAAAACCCCAATTTGTTCGTAGGATGGTGGGGCATCAGGCCATTTTATAAAGAATCCTAATGCATTACTGCATTATTGGCGAATGTTATGGATTGGTATAGATTTTTGCGCATGCATGAAGATAAAGATGCCAATTTGGATTTAATCAGCCGCATGCTTGGCGTTGGTAAGCCGTACATGCATATTATTGGCATATTTCAAGGCGGGAAGTTTATCGGCAGAAAGGGATATGAGATATAATTTACAACCAAACGCAACTCCACAAAACAGAATCCAATTAGGACTCTCCAAGAGTATCAAGTTGTGGCAAGCGGAGGGGTGCAACTTTCACTATAAGTAGAGAGGGTTGCGCACCATTCAGAGGAGCCCCTACAAAATCAATACAAAATTGCCCTGCGCAAACTCTCACAACTTGTGATTTTTCTTTTTCCTTTTTCGCTGACACATCTTCCGTTGGCATCAACAGCACTGTGGAAGCAACCGGTGATATCTTAAGTCGGCATAGATAGCTCTGTCACCGTAGAGTCAGTCGGTCTCGCAGTATCTTCCGTTGGCATCAACAGCACTGCGGCGAGAACGATTGATTACCTATCCAAGTCTCGGTCGAGAAGGGTTTCTAAATCCTTATTGGTCGAGGTCATCTCATCAGCCTTCTCGGCGAAGTGAGGTGTTACAGTTATTACATTCGGCACATTGAAAGCCGAATTTGATATTGAACTTCGTAAGAATAGTAACCTTGTCTTCAGGTTCGAGAGCCCAAGAGGCCGAGACGTGTTCCTTTCTCGGCCGCAATCGCAAGACGCAGAAGTCAGTAGCGCGACCCAACGCAACATCAACAAATTTACTCCTCGGCCGAGCTCGGCCGATGAGTTGGCACGCCCCGCATTCACCGAAGGACGTAGTTAGCTCATTAATTACTCGGCCTGCGCGCCACGTAGGCTTTGTAATTTCTAGGGTCAACATTTTGGCACGCCCAGTGGGACCCAGTGCTAATACTACGAAGTTCATATGATATATCAAGATTCCAATCTGGCTCAACGTAGCCGATTGTATGAGCTCCTGGAGGAATTGAAAAAACATAATGAGGAATGTAAAAAATCTTTGGAAGCAGAAAAAGTTCTTCGTGGCCATAGAGAGATGCAAAAGTCACTCGCTTGCATGTTGAAAATAAAAGCTCCTGTTACCCTGCAAGGGCAATGGGTAAATGAAGACAGGGCTCGATTTAATGCCTGGCTAGATGAAGAAAATTTTCCTTATGTTTCTGATTACAGATCAATTCCATTTGAAAAATGGTTAGGCCCAAAGGCCGGGGGGCAATTTTTCGCTCCGACCGTAATCAGAAAACGGCCTAAGAAAATTGTTAATTTGGCCGAAGAACAAAGGCCACCTAGTTTTTCGGTCGAGGCTGAAAATATGGTCGGCCAAGAAGAAAAACCTAGGCCACCTATTTTTTCGGTCGAGACTGAAAGTGTGGTAGGCCTAGAAGAAAAAGTTAAAGTTTCTGAGCCACAAATCGACTCAAAAAATGATTCGCCAGAAAAGTGCTCCAATGACGAACAAGGCCGATACATAGGCCTAGCCAGAAAAACCACGCCAATTGATATGATTATTGGCGATAAGGACGATATAGAGAAATTCAATTCGGCCAAGTTGTTTGGGTTAAAAGCCAAAATTAACAACGTAATTATGCCGGAGGGGCATAATAATTGTCTAACATCGGCGGCCGAAAATGAAAAATATTTCGCCAAGTCAAAAATATTTGGAGAAAATTCTTTATTCGGCCCAGGGCGAAATCAATTTCAAAATTTTGTTATTACAAGATCTCGTTTTGGAATAAAGCATCGTTGGCCTCCTCCTGAATATGGTTCGGCCACTTTTATTTCCATTTAGAAAAATAAAAATAAAAAAATATTTTCTTAATCATCTGGCTACTTAAGCCGATGCATAAGAAATAAAGGGGGCAACAATACTGCGGCAATCCATATATATCTTCCTCGGTCGACTAATATATATATCTATATATATAACCATACATACCGAGCTCGGCGGGGTGTATTGTTGCCGAGTATGGTCTTTTCTCTGGGACTAGTTTTCTCAGTCCCATGCAGGCCACCACGTCCTAAGCAAATCATCCACCAATTGTATTAAGAATTAGGTTCTTCTCAGTGGGACTTTATGTAGGCCTGCACGCCACATGGCATGCAAATTCGAATCTTGACCAAAAAAGGGGTAGCATGCAAAAAGATATATCACGGCATGCAAAGATTTTGTTAGGAATGGTCGAAGTCAGCACATGTGAACTAAAGGACAAGCTCGGTGGAGGCCATTCAAATGCATGAAATATATGCCAACGGCGGTTAAATTTCACCAATTGGAGTGGTCTTAAAGGTTTTTAATTGTCGAGGTATATATGTTTTTTCTCACCGATCTCGGCAAGCCCATCAAGTTTTTGCCGAGTCGCGTATTGAAAAGGTTTTGTTGTTCGACGATGTTCTTCGGTGGTAAATGAGTTGGTCATGTTACTGACGTGCAGGCCAAGCTCAAATTAAGAATCTGTTCGCCATTGTTGTTCGTTAGATAGACACGTTGTGAGTAGTGAGCGATGAAAATTCTGGATATGACTTGCGGCAAATTGTTTTGCCGAGTTGTGTTTATACTCGGCGAGCAACTCCATTGAAACATGTCACCTTGATCTTCATAATTGGTTGTGATTTGAAATGGTAGGCTTCTACGTGGGTTAGCATTTTCGTTTGGTGAGGTAGTGATTTGGTGGAGTTTGTCTAGGAACATTGGTTCAAGTACCAAGTCCATCTGTGAATTCTTAACAGCATTACTTCGTGGAGTGGTCTGCGCTCGGCCAACCATTAGGCCGAAGTTGAGATAGGCCGAAGTCGAGAAGAGTAGTTCGAAAAGGGAGAAGAGAGTTGGCTGAAGAAATATTAAGAATTTGAAAGTCCTCTGCCAATAGAGAAAGTCATTTGACTTAACTTTTGGTCGAACGAACTTAATTGAGTACCATGAAAAGTAGTGGGCGGAGGACTTCGACCAAGCCATGGAGTGTATTCCTCGACCATATATAACATCAGCTGCGCTAATTTCCTTAACCATTCGGCTTACGAGCCGAAGTTCAAGGAAATTGGGGGGCAATGTTTGGACCCGATTTTACACCATCGGCCTAAGCGGTCGATGCCGTTGAGTAAGCAAGGTTCTCAACCGTTGGATAAAAAGTTAAGATATTATTGTTAAGAGATAATATTATTATTTTTAATAATTATCTCTTAACAAGTTATCTCGGTTTTATGCAAAATAAATGGGATAAGACGACATGGATAAATGGGAGATTGTTTGGACCCATTTTTACAATAGCGGCCCGAGCAATCAAGGCCGTCGGATGAGCAAGGTTTTAGGCCATTGAACGACAAAGTGGTTGAAATAAATTATGATTGAGATAATTTTGGGATTTTAATCATTATTTATTAAACCTAGTTTTTATCTAAAACCCCAATTTGTTCGTAGGATGGTGGGGCATCAGGCCATTTTATAAAGAATCCTAATGCATTACTGCATTATTGGCGAATGTTATGGATTGGTATAGATTTTTGCGCATGCATGAAGATAAAGATGCCAATTTGGATTTAATCAGCCGCATGCTTGGCGTTGGTAAGCCGTACATGCATATTATTGGCATATTTCAAGGCGGGAAGTTTATCGGCAGAAAGGGATATGAGATATAATTTACAACAACCAAACGCAACTCCACAAAACAGAATCCAATTAGGACTCTCCAAGAGTATCAAGTTGTGGCAAGCGGAGGGGTGCAACTTTCACTATAAGTAGAGAGGGTTGCGCACCATTCAGAGGAGCCCCTACAAAATCAATACAAAATTGCCCTGCGCAAACTCTCACAACTTGTGATTTTTCTTTTTTCCTTTTTCGCTGACACATCTTCCGTTGGCATCAACAGCACTGTGGAAGCAACCGGTGATATCTTAAGTCGGCATAGATAGCTCTGTCACCGTAGAGTCAGTCGGTCTCGCAGTATCTTCCGTTGGCATCAACAGCACTGCGGCGAGAACGATTGATTACCTATCCAAGTCTCGGTCGAGAAGGGTTTCTAAATCCTTATTGGTCGAGGTCATCTCATCAGCCTTCTCGGCGAAGTGAGGTGTTACAGTTATTACATTCGGCACATTGAAAGCCGAATTTGATATTGAACTTCGTAAGAATAGTAACCTTGTCTTCAGGTTCGAGAGCCCAAGAGGCCGAGACGTGTTCCTTTCTCGGCCGCAATCGCAAGACGCAGAAGTCAGTAGCGCGACCCAACGCAACATCAACAAATTTACTCCTCGGCCGAGCTCGGCCGATGAGTTGGCACGCCCCGCATTCACCGAAGGACGTAGTTAGCTCATTAATTACTCGGCCTGCGCGCCACGTAGGCTTTGTAGTTTCTAGGGTCAACAACATGTTTATGAATTCAATCTTGAAATCAAATGGTTTGAATATAATAATAATAAAACATGTTTAAACTATTACCATTGACTTTTCTGCAAAACTACTGGTTGAAGCTGTTTTCCCAATTTGGGGTTTTGATTAGCAACTTCATCGATCAAAACATGTTCTGGGTTTTGTGATTCTCTCAACTCTTAAATCAATTTTTTCAATTTGGATAATTATTTCTGCTGCGCTGTTCCAAATTGAAATTTGCAGAAGGTATGTTTAATAATTTGTATTGTTCTGTCAATGTTTGCTTTATATTTCAATGCATAGATTGGGTCAAGGTTTCTGTTAAGTTTTTTAATAAAAATTAAAATTACGATAACGAAACCCACGAAGAACTAATCCTATTGAAATTATCGAAGGTAATCTGGAGACCATGAATGATCAATCATGAATGAGACTACTATTGCTTTATACCTTGCGAAATATACGTATGCATATCTGTCTTAGTGCACGATTTAAAATCTGGGTTTTGTTTGATTTTGTCAAAATTTCATAACAAAACATGGAGGTCATAATTGAATGAACATAATTAGCATGCTGATATTTTTTATTAGAGCTTATAATCAAGGCTGTATTTTTCCATATATTCAGAAAAGTTTTGTAGTTTTGGATGGTGGACTTATTGTAGAGGAAGTTTTGTTTGATGCTTTGGAAACATTTTGGTTGTTTTAAGCTTATGATTAGTCAATCGTTTTAAGTCAATGTTATGTTGCTTTCCTATAAGATCGATTTATGTTTTGGTCTTTTTGAAAAGTGGGAGCATATTATGTGATTGACTATTTAATATCAGTTTATGTTATGAGTCATATTTGCAGTCTAGATGTGTGTGAACTTAGAATCAATACTGCATTTTGGTTGTGGTTTATGAATCTCTGTTTCCATGTTTTGGAGTGTAATAGAATGATGGTCATACCGATGGATTCTCAGGTAAGGCTCTGTGGTCACTTCTTATAAATTGGAGAAGTTCATGTCTGAAACTGATCTCATGTTCAAGTGGGAGAAAATGTATGAATATGAACATGAGATTGGGTGTTTTTGACGGTGAATGGTTAAGTCCAATTAGAATAAGAAAGCCTTATGAGAAGCTGTGAACAAATCCTTGTTTTTGAAGGATTCTGTTAAAACTATTTGAACTAATATGGCTTGGAAAACATAAGTTGTTTTCTATAACGATTGTAATAGGAAATCCTTGTCAAGTTGTAAGAAGGATATATATGTGTTTTGGATTCAGTTTTATGCTTGAGAATCTTTGTGATTTGACTGGAGCAGTTGGTTGAATTCATCTATTGGTAATTCTTTATATTGGAATGAATTATTAGTTGATAGTTTTACTATCTGTTGGACTTAATTGTTTCGAATTAAGTTAAGGAATAATGGGAGTGGAAATTTAGGTCTACTAATGTCAGTTTGATCATAATGTTATTAGTGCAGATAGAACATAAGTAATCTGAGGGCATCATTTACATATTGGTTGTGATTGTAAGCTTTTGATTCTATGTTTTGAGATGTACAGATAGATTGTTTATGATGTTACTCAAAAGGCTTGGTGATCACCTTATTGTAAATCTTGATAGAACTAGTTTACTTGGTTCATACTTGCTCAAGTGGGAGAATGTAAGAATATGAGCATATGTATGAATCTATGAACTTAGTTATTGGTCTTGAGATTGAATGGCAAGTCTTTTTGGGAATGGATTTTGTAATCCATATCACACTGGACTACTATTTAAGGGATTAGTTTCCTATAAGAATTCTAATAGGGGAATCCTTAGGGGATATGGCAAAGATTATGCTGTGTATATAGTGGCCTCTGCTCTCACAGTTGATATGCTCGATCATCAAACTAAGACATATTATTAGTTAGAGCAAACTGATTACTGGAGAGAGGAGAAGGTGCACTGCTTATTTGCTGCAGAATCTGGAATTGCTGCTTCTTCAAGTTCGTTTGCAGGTAAGTTTCTTCTCTGTGCTACAGGCTTATGAATTGGGTTTGTGTTTTGATCACTGTGATTCAATTACATGTTTTTGGTATATGTTTATTCTAACAGATATATCTCACATTATTTATACTACTACCCTCTCTTGACACTTCTAAGGTAGCCTGCCCTTATTGTCCACAACTGCTCTCCCACCGCTTTCATGTCCGGCCTAGCATCTCGGATGGGGGCTGCACATTGGATCCCCAAATCGAAGATTTTCATCAGAAGCTCTGCATCTATAGTTTCCTCCATTAAAGGATCAACCAATTCTGCCACCCTACCTTCATTCAACTTCTTGAAGGCCTGCAGAATGTTGAGACCGGATATAATCGTTACAGTTCGAATTTAATCTGGTTCAAATACATTATTGAGCAAATGAGAAGACTAATAGCTCATTCGCAATCATTTTATAACAATAATGCTAATCACATCTCATTTTAATACCAAGCAATATAGTTGGTGATTTTATCTCGTTGAATATTGACTATACTTACCCATCTGAGTGTCACCCGCTCTTCAGCAGGTCTCTTCGACTCCACTGGACGACGGCCAGTGAAAATTTCTATTAGTAAGATCCCGAAAGAGTAAACATCACTTTTCGGGGTGAGTTGATAGGTTTTCATATACTCAGGGTCAATATAACCGACAGTTCCTTTCACTTCGGTTGAAATGTGTGTTTCATCTGTTTCCACCGGGCCGAGCCTTGCAATTCCAAAATCTGCCACTTTGGCTTTCATGCTTTCTGTGAGAAGAATGTTGGAGGACTTCACGTTTCGATGGATGATTTGTTTTTCTGTTGTGAGATGAATAACGGATGAGGCATCAACCAGGTTGACAAATCGAAATCAATTTTCATCCGCATCCAGAAAGATAAAACTTAAACAGAAAACTGTGATGCCTGTATTAAATGAAGAGTTTTGTTACCAGCATATGTGTGAAGATAGGTAAGGGCATGAGCAACATCGATAGCAATTTCAAGTCGCTGGTTGAACTTTAGGATTTTCCTATGCTGACCTGCCCATGTAGAAGCATAATTATTTACCATCTCATCACTTTACAAATCAGAACTACCGATTGTAATGAAAGGACTTGAGTAAGCTTACGATCCAGATGTTCTCGAAGAGTACCATTCGGCACATACTCCGTAATGATAAGACGCTCATTTCCTTCATCAACATAACCTAGTAGCTTTACGAGATTTCGATGATCAATTTTGGCCAGCAGTTCAACTTCACTGCTGAATTCCGTTTGCAAATTCTCAAAGTGTTCCTATTATAAAGTTTCCATGTTACAAAAATAGCAATCAATTGATTGAATCACGGACATGAGATAAAATCGTCCTTAAAAATCCACTCGAATGTTTGATAGAAATTTTTCAACGTTATGAACTGTTCATACCTTCTTTGCACGTTTAATAGAAACAACTTGGCCATCATCTAACCGAGCCTTGTATACAGTTCCAAAATTTCCTTCACCTACTTGTTGCGATCGAGAGAAATTGCGAGTTGCTTTTGCAATCTGCTTTAAACTGAGATGTACTGATCCAAATCTACTGAGCTTTGAAGACATTGAAATTATAGGAATCGGTGGCACTTGAAGCGGACTGGCAGGAAAAGAGCTCAATCCAAAAGAAGAAGCTGAATCTGATACAGTAGTAGAGAAAGGATAAGAGCTCAATCCAAAAGAAGAAGCTGAATCCGTTACAGTAGTAGAGAGAGGATAAGAGCTCACTTCAGAAGAAGGTGAATCCACTGCAAAATAAAAAAAGCAAAAGGCGAATAATCAGTGCCAAGTGGCAACAGAAATGCAATTGTCTGCAGAATTGCTATATCTAATCCAAAAGTATGCAATGGAGATTCAGGTACTGCGGACCAACCTGTAATTTCACTTGGAGTCTGTTCCGGGCCAATCCCTTCAATTTCTTCGACACCTGCTTTTGTTGTGCCAGACAAAACCAATGTCTCCCTCGCATCACTCGTTCCCTGCATGTTTAGCACATCCGATCCAATTGTAGGCAATGAAGGTTCCGGCAATGCACACCAACCGTCAGCTTGAGTTTGATTTTGCAGCACACCACTTTCTTCAATTCTCTTGATCACTGCCTCTATATTCCTTATCGAAATAAACGTCTCCCTCACGTCTCTTGCTACCTGCACTCTCAGTATACCTAACAATATCTGAAGAGATTCATCCAATCCAATAATTTTGTTGCTGTATTTATAACTTTTGCAACCAGTCCACATACCAACTTTGGAGCACTTGTGGACGAGCTCTACACCTTTCTCCATTTGTATTCTGAAGTTTTTACACTCGTCTTGGCGATCCAGTAGTTTTCTATATTCTAGTATATCTTCCATTAACGGTCTTAAGGAGTCTAGCGTGGACATGAGATTTTCTATGAGAGGTTTGAACGCTGTGTTCTTGTCCTTCACTTCCATAACAACATCGCACAACACTGCAAATGTTGCTTGTAGAGCAGCCCCTGCCATATTTACATCACCACCAAATCAGAAAAATTGAAACTGTTACCACGTACATAAAATGGAATCCAATAAAGCGCCTTTTTTTTTGTCGCATATGGTTCCTGATGTCAAACATGCTCATAAATTTAGTTCCAAAAAATTCACCTTGTTCCGAGACATTCCCCTGGGCTTGATCGGGCACTGTCTCGGTAATACTTATGGAAACCAATTCTACCACGACATCCCCCGCTCTCTGCTGCAGTAACTTTCGTATATCCAACAATCTTCTATTAACTTCATCAAGTTTCTCCCGGTTTTGCCTCGACAAAACCCAGACCTCCTTCACATCCCTTGCTTCCTGCATCTTCAATTTTATTAACAATCTTTTAAGAGCCCTATCCAACTCAACAATTTGTTGAGCGTAATCATCCAAGCAGCAGTAGTTCCAAATGCGAAAGTTGGATAACTTGCCAACAAGCTTCACACCATCCTCCATTTGCATTTGAAGACTTTCAATTTCCTCGTTTGGGAGACCCAATTCGACGTTATGCTCTCCAATCTGTTGGATGTCTCTTGGTTCTAAAGAGTCTAGCGTGGATTTGAGGTCTCCGAGAAGCGTTTTAAACCGCCCACTCTTGCTCATCGCTTGCTTGACGCCGTCGTAGAGCTGCGTAAACAGTGTTCCACCAATAAACTCCAGTGCCATAATTGGAAACCTTGTCCAATTACCAGGTCAACAGACCAAGCTGTAGCGTTATGATCTTTCTTGAGTGGTTTAGTTTACATGGTCTATATTTGTTGGTACGCAATCAGATATCTGTTGTGCATGTGGGCCAAATATAGCCTTGAGTTTCCACCCATACATTTTTAGTTCAAAACTCATCATTCCTTGTGTTACTGTAAGAGTTTCTAACCATCTCCCTTCCCCTTAATAATAATAAATTTTATAAAAATAAAACAAAACTAGGTATCTGTTGAAGAATCATTAAGGTTATGTTACATTAGTTTTTGCCCTCTGATGAAAGTATTTGTGTTGTTAATAAATCTCACATTGATTAGAGGTGTGTTGAGAATGAATCTCACATTGATTAGAGGAGACCTTGCATGTGCTTATAAGAGATTGGATTACTCCCCATATTGTCAATTGGTTTTATGATGGAACACTAACTTTCTTCATGGCAACACAGTAGGTTGTCCTAGTTCAATAGCCACACCACCACAAGTGCTTCACGTCATCCGAGTTGCGTTGTCCACGTTTTAATCTTGAAAATTTGCCACACATATGAGGTTTTGTTGAGAATGAATTGAGCATTAATGAGAGCAGACCTTGATTGTACTTATAAAAAATTGAAATACACTCATATTACTAATTAATTTTATGGTGAAACAGTTTGTTTCTTTAATTTGACTAAATATATAGTTATAATTTTCGGTTGAGAATTTTGGCGAATGTTGAACAATTAACCAACTCACCAAGTCCAAGCGCAAGACCCAAACTCAAATATTTGGATTAAACCCAAAAAATGCAATCCAATGGTGACGCCTAAACCCTAAAATTTGGCTTTGAGCCCAAAATAAAATCCGAAATTCTATTTGGCTGACCCAAATGTTGGGGGCCCCAGCTTATACAAAAGCGGACAGAGGAATATGGTAGTGGTCGATAACTGGGCCCCATTTGATAAGGGACTCCAGTTATCCAACGGTAACATGCGGACTAAAGCGAGCTGTCACGCCTCGGCGCTAAACGATTGGTCACCGTTTCAATTAATGCTTAGATATTTAAAAATTAAGAAATGATGCATAGACCTGCTAAGGCACCCGCCTAGCCCGTCCAGACTTGCCTAGGCACTCGGTTAGGTTGTGACTCACTTAGACAGAAAATAGATAATTTTCATTTTATATTCTATTTTTTTTCAATAAATTGTAAGAGACTTGCTGAATAGTTAAATGAACATACATTATATGCTTGTTCCCCATGTTTTCATTATGTTCCAATACTTCATAATATATATGTCATTTTATTTGTAGTTTATGATGAAATTATATATATTTTAAGCATAAACACACTTATTTACACGAAATATAATAGATTTACGCAAATCCACCTAGTCCGCCTAGACCTCGTCTAGCCGCCTAGGCGCTAGGCCTTAGCCCGCCACCCAACTAGCACCTAGCATCTTTTAGAACCTCAAAGGTAGCATTTGGACTAGGAAGCCGTTCAATTTTTGGACCATTCGTGATCAATAGTCTAAATTACAATGCCTCTTTTGGTAATCGTTTGATTTTGATCTAACGGTCCGTATTTGTGTTTTTTCAAATCCAACGGTAAGAGAAAAAAAAATCAATAGCTGAAATTTAAATCTAATGGTCAAGGGTTAAAATCATTTCACAACAGTTAATACAGTTTAGGTCCTAAAATTTAAGTCTTACGGGTTGGGTGACATTCGATTCACGAACCTTAAATTCTGTGACCTAAATATTTAGGTTTGGATCTAAGACTACCCAGCCAACAGAAAGAAAATAGCACAAAAGGTCTTGGGTTTTCCACCTGCTCCTTACCAGCCTAGGGTGTAAGCTCAATATATGTTCTGGCATGAAGTCGTACCTCTTCAATATACCGACTACAGGAGATCTCTGCAATCAAGCAGTGTAGATATTACAAGCAAGTAGTAAGAAAACTGCAATAAGGATTATTTCAAGCTAGATGGATTGATAAATAATTAGCATAAGATGTGGAGCTACGAATATATTTCAGGCACCGCAATGTGGAACTGATACGTCAGAACACCATGATTTTGTCATATAACGTTTGTGTCATTGACACAGATACCCGTGCCATAAGTTGCTCTGCCTCTACAACTTCCTTGAATGAAGGATCAATCACTTCTTGAATACCCGTGGAATGTCAAAACCGGACACCAATAATGTTTATCATACACATTTTAATACCAAAGCAATATAATTATTGATTTATCTCGCTGAAGTTGTAGTATCACGTCTCAATATATCTTAGTGGTGCAGCTTGCCCATCTGAGTGTCACCCGCTATTCAACAGATCTATTCGACTCCATTGGACGACGGCCAGTAAAAATTTCTATTAGTAAGATCCCGAACGAGTAAACATCACTTTTGGTGGTGAGTTGATACGTTTCCATGTTAAACAAATAGCAATCATTTAATAGCCATGGGATGATCATCTTAGATGGTCTTTTTGTCGGATGCTCCTATTACACTCGTAGTCTCTGAAGGATGAGAAACAACTATGTAGCATCTACATCGAGACATGAGAATAAAAACTTCCTTAAAAATCCATTCGAACCATAACATATAATGCTATGCAAAAATCCTACTACGTAAGCCTACTGATCACTCATATATTTCATGCATTTATACCATCCATTTCTAAAGTCTTTGTGATGTTTTGTGTTAAAATTGTGGCATTTTATCTTACCTTGTGTTAATATGCAGTTAATTTTGTTTTAGGATCAATTTCAAGAAAAATGAAGAAAATGAAATAGTAAAAACAAATAAAATAGCAAGAGGGGGGAGCACACGGAAAGAAAACAAAATAAAAAAAAGGCAGGAATAATCAAAGGCAGCAGACATAGACATAGACGGGTGGAGAGGAGTGCTGGACGGCAAGAATAATAGAAAAGAAATAAATTGGGACGAGTGGGAGAGACACTGAGAAAAGAAAGGATGGCAGAAAGAAAAAGAAAACAAAAGAAAAGGCAGAGAGGAATAAAGAAAAGGAGGAGTGCGGGACACGGACTGAAAAGAAAATAAGTGAGCAGGGGGAATAAAGAGAGGGCAGCACGGACTAAAGGAAGGGGTGAAAGAAAAGAAATACTGGCAGAGCAGCAGGAAGGAGTGCGCAGAGAAGCACAGAAAACTGTGCGAAAGAAAGTACAGACCGACAGAAACAAGCAGGGAGACTGACGGGAAAAGAAAAATAGAGAAGACAGAGGCAGGACGCGGAGACAGAAGCAGAGAGACTGAAGGGGAGAGCGGGACAGCAGAAAAGAAGTGAAAGCCAGGGAAGTGTGCAGAGAGAGAGGACTGACGTGAGGACAGAAGGCAGTGCGCAGGAAAGAGGGAAGCAGCAGAGCACAGAGGCACGGACGCTCGGCAGATCTTTTTTTTTTATTTTATCTTCTCAAATTCATGTTTTACTTTTGGTTTAATTTGTGAATTATGTGTAACTAAATTTTAAATAGTTAGGGGCTGTTTTGAAGCCCCGAATATGATTGTAAGTTTGTTGTGATATTTTGTTTGAATGACTTTTATGAAATGATGAAAATTGTTTCACTACTTATGTCATTGATAAATTCTTTATGTGTTTCTATGGATGCATACATAGTGAGCATATCTAGGATTTTAATGCTATAAATATATGTTTACCTGCCCTTGTTGAATGAGGACCTACATATGTTCTAGAGTAGCACTTGTTAATTGTGGTTAACATGTGAACCGATTTATAGGATAAGTAAGACAACGCCAGTACTTACGATGCCTTGTGATGACTCAAACTCTTTTTATTCTTAATGATTTCTACTTGTTAAATCTATGAACACGCCATTCTAGATTGCATGTTAGGAACTAAGTTAAGTTGAAAACGTCATTCTCTTAACATACTACGTAAGAAAGAGTAATATGTTGTGTTCTAACATTGAGCCAACTTGAGCATCTTCATCCGGAAATAAAAGGAATTTGAATGAAACATAACATGTTTGCATGATTATTTGGTGGTGGATAACAACTCCCCCTAACTCGTTTTCTTAACTTCTGAATTAAAATCTGTTGGTATTATTTAAAACTTGTTGAGATCCTGTTTTGTCTGATTTAATTTAAATAGTTAATCAACTCCAAAAATCCCAAAAATTTGTGTGAGCATAGCTTGGTGTGTCTAGTTTATGTGTATAAAATTTCGTTGCATTTGGATAAGTGTAAGTTAGTCTAATAATTATTGTTCGGTGGTTGGTCAGTGGAGACAGCCACCCCGTTTTTGTGACATTTTAGGTATTTTGATAAAACAATCTTCTGCGGGAAAGACCCTTATTTTCATATGCTACAGTCGACAAATTTTAGTGTTAATAAGGAAAATTAATAGGATATTTGTGTGCTACTTTGTGGTGTGCTTTTATACCTACCACCTACTTCAATGTTGAAATTTGAACCACGTCACACGCATACAACTTTAGTGGCGGAACTAAGATTTTAACTTAGAAAGGGCCCAGAAGTCTCAATTCGAAACGTTCTTCCCATCGTACAAAAATTACTCTGCCCTGTGGTGAGCATTTGACCATCGTTGTTTGAGAATGGTATTGTGTCGTCCACGTCATCCTCTTTCTTAAACCTAAACTCCAAGCCTCTCTGACTTTCTTCCTCTCTCCTTCTACTCTATAGAGTCCTCAAAACTCACAATCAATGGATTATCTAAACTCCATAGGAGTCACCAACCTCAAATCAACTTCGATGAAAGAAATTAAAGTAAAAAAAAGGTCAGAAATTTGTCACATCCTGGCCTGAGCCCGCTCCACCACCGTAGCATGATATTGTCCGCTTTGGGCCCCGATCACGCCTTCACGGTTTTGTTTCTGGGAACCCACACGAGAACTTTCCAGTGGGTCACCCATCATGGGATTGCTCTCGCGCGCTACTCGCTTAACTTCGGAGTTCAGATGGAACTCGAAGCCAGTAAGCTCCCAAAAGGCCTCGTGCTAGGTAGGGATGTTAGTATACATATAAGGATCACTCCCTTGGGCGATGTGGGATCTTACAAGA